TGACTCACTTGATTTTGATCTTGATCAAATTGGACGATTGGAAGAGGGGAATATACAACTTCTATACAGTAAAGGAAGTATGGGAAGCGGAAAGATGTAATGAATAAAGGTCATGTATTTAACAAGAAGAATAAATGGCATTAGATTTTGTCTCAAGGCGAATTTCTGCAACCTAACTTTTTGTTTAACCCCTATCATCACTAAATGAACAATCAATAAAAAAAAATATATAAAAAATTAAAAAAATAGATTTTGAGTTCTTAAAATGGTTTCAACTGGCCACCACAAAAATGGATGATCCATACAAAATTTCCAAATTACAATTTTGTCCGGAAAAATCTTTTCTATTGGCTACTTGTTCGTAGTCAAGAGGATGTGTGCCAAGTTTCAGGCTGTATAAATGCCCTCAAGACTCAAATATGGGAGCAAGGATAAATATAACCTTTTTACCCTTGAGCAAATATATTTTTGGGAATATATCTTTATATCCCATTTTTTTAGGTTTCATTTTTTTATATACCCAAGGTTTCAAAAGATATATTCTACTTTAAAACTATTTTTTAACCTAAACAAATGTGAGAAAGACATGCACTTTCTAAACCCAATCATTTCTCTCTCTTCACTTATTTATCCCAAACTTCTCTCTTTCTCTTTTCCTGCGTCTCTCACTATCTCTTTTCTCTCATGTTTCTCCAAACACCTCTCTCTCCTCTCAATAACATCTCACCTCTGTGAAATCCAACCCAATCATTTCTCTCTCTTCACTTATTTAACTCAAACTTCACTCATTCTTGCCCTTCCTACATCTCTCACTCTCTCTGGAAAGATGTAGAGAGAGCGGGAGGAGAGAGAGATGGGAAAGGAGTGAGAAATTTGGAAGGATGGCTTTTAAAAACGACATGTCTGTTTTGATTTGTTTGGCCTACAAAAAATGTTTAAATTAGCTTCGATGGTTAGAAGAAATAAAATCTACAATTTTTATGCCCCAAGATATCTTTTAAAACGTTGGGCCTATTGTGAAATGAAACCCAAAAATAAGGGGTATGGAGATATTTTCCCTTTTTTTTCCAATCATTTCTTGAAAAGTATAGAATAACGCATTTTATTTTTATTTACCCAAAAAAATAGAAGTTAATCGTTTTGTATAAGGAGGTCACGATTACTAATGCCTGCTAGATTTAAAATTAGGAAATTGGAGATACGGGATTTACAAGCTTAAATTTCAAAAAAAACTTGTTTTGATATTTACAATACATCCTAAGCTTTAAAATTTGACATCTGACAGTTTTCGGAGATTCTGACTCCCTTGTGCTAAAAAACAATGGCAGTATAGTGTAAAATACCTTCACTTATAGGAACTTTCAAAACCAAATTTAGTATTTATAAAATGTGATTTTCCATTAAGGTTTCCCTTATTAACGAAAGTAAAGGATGGAAGAAATCTTATAGGAGGTCCGTTGTATTTGATCGAATAGGAGTGCTCTAACAAAGCATAAAACTTGCTATAAAAAGGTCGTTACTAGTTTTGGTGTAGTAGTTTTGGTAACCTATACTACGAGATTGTTTATTTTTGTTATAAAGAGGTCACAATCGCTTCTAGGCATTCGTTATGTAATCTTATGGATGAAAGTGTGTCACAATATTTACGAAATTTTTGTTTTCAATTTTGTGCCTGAATAATGACAAATCGTCAACCGCCCAATTTTAAATTTAATGCTCAGTAATAATTGTGGCCTCCTTATATCAAAACAAATGGTCTCCTTATATACATTTTTGATAGTTATGGATTAAGGTTACTATTACTAGTTTTTCATCACCTGTCAGATCTCTCATCCAACGGTTGTGCACCTCCAATACAACCCATGTAAACTCCTACTTGATCATTGCTCAAGGAAAATAATCCCATTTTATTATGAAGAATAATGCCCTTGTACCATACAAGATTATATCATAGAAAAAACCTGCCTACCTCTTTAGATGGATCAAATTTGAGAAACAGACGTTCCAAATTCTATTGGATGCTTGTGCCTAACCTCCATGTCATGAAAATTTATGGCAAGCTTCATTTCTTGTATATCGACAGCCACCGCGGCCGCCGTCGTCAGCGTTGAGAGTGTCCGCATTTTGCTATGCACTCTTGGTTTCTGTTGAGGGACACTATAGTCAATTGGAGGTCGTGCTGCGATTTTGAGAGATTGTGCGTTTGAACCCATTGATAGGACCTATTTTATATCATTTTCTCATCTAAGTTAATGGAAAATGGTTAAGATTTATAATTTTCGAACCAAATTTTCAGTAATTAATCTGTTTACTCTGTGTGGTGGAACTTCTCTAAGATTTATGGATTCTTGTGGCCATACACGGAAATAAAGAGAAGCAAAACACCATCTTCTAGTGGTGTTTTGAGAGAGAGAGAGAGAGGAGAGAGACAATGTAGAGAGGGGAACTTTATGTAACTATTTGTGTATTGGAGAGAGAGACGAGGTTTTGAGATAGAGAGAGATGGTGTTTTGACTCCGTTGTAGTTATCTTTGTATTCTCTCTTATTAATAAAATATGTTACTTTTGTCAAACAAAAAAGTGAGACGGTGTTTTGAGATGGGAACTTTCTCCAACATTTTGGGTATTTGAGAGAGAGAAATGGAGTTTTGTGTGAGAGAGAGAGATAGTGTTTTGGGTGTTTGAGAGAGAGAAATGATGGGTCAAAAATAAATGGTCAAAGTGGTCCTGGGGGTGGGAGGATAGAAAAGATAGAGACCATATGCTACAAGTAAAATTGTGAATCCTGGGGTCTCATGAGAAATAGATGCCAAAATTAAGGGGTACCGAGATATTTTCCCTTCTTTTTTTTTTTTTCGTTTTTTTTTAACTTTAACAAAAGTTTCATCAAGTGAATGAAAGAAAGCAAAATATAAGAGTCTCTCCCCTCGACTCTCTTATTATCTCTCTCCAACCAGCTTATCCAAGATTGCTTCTGTCATTTCTAGCTACATCTTCATTAGTTCTTTTTTTTCATTTCTTGAGTGTTATGGGCTGACAAGGTAGAAAACTTCTCATGCTATAACTCAAGGAAACCAGAGGACTTTCATAGTATAATACCATACAGAGGTTACAATCACCCATAGCCATCAGATGTTAAATCTGACAGCTTGGGCTGTATCACAAAGTTAAAAAATATTGGTTTCTAACTTTGAACCCATCAAACCACATGATATTACATTAATGGTAATATGTATGTGCAAAAAACGCATAAAAAGTTCCCTCTTTGGAGTGTCCTTTTACTTTCCCTCTTTTGAAGTTTTTCCCAAAACGACTCCAATTACAATTCAACATATAAATAAGAAGAGTACCTGAATTATGGGAATTATTTTATTGCGTAAATAATTATAAAAAAATCGCCACCAAACATATATACAATTCACTATATTTCGATTGAATTCAACCAACTTGTCTTCTTTTTGCATTACCCCCATAGTTTAGGTGAGAATACCAATATCATTCAAAGAGAATATCCTATTTTTATCTACTTTACACCTAAATAAAAGAAACTTTCCCCATGTTTTGGGTGGTAATTACAAAAAGAATCTACGCACCTTCCGAAAGCCCCATCTAAACTATAGATAGAAAATTGGCAATCCCCTTTAAGAAAATATATATACGAAATCTTGCCATTAGCTATTATTGTCAAAAACGATACGAGTGTGGGTTGCTTTATAATACGGGTCACGTAAAATACGGGTCTACATTCATTCTTAAGTTCTTATTTCAATTGTTTTGCTTTTTTTGCATAGGGTACTAGAAATTGGAGACACCATTTCCGCCGTTGACGGCCATCTTCATCGAGGTAACTGCTTATGGTACAATATGTTTCTTCATACGCTAAACCCTAAACCCTAAACGACATCTAGGCTCACTTCCTGCAATCTGTTTCATGCAGGCTTTGCGTAACATATGTCCCATGAAGAAAGAAATATGCATATCTACATGCATGTCTACTTTTGAAAATATTTATCTTAAAGCATGTTCTTTCGACGGTCTGCTTTAGGTGTTCACATATCCACCTAATCTACACAATTTTTTATGTTTTGGGTTTCATGGTCTGGAAACAAGAATAGATTTGATAAACAAACAAAGCACCAAAATTACAATTATTGGTGGGGAAGATATATCCTTATCAAATACATTATATCCTTTCAAAAAGTGGGACTTGAGTGAAAAATATGAAATATAAGGAATTATTTTTAAGTTTTAAAAATAAGACATGATTTTATGTAACTTTCTTTAATATTAAATAATAACTCAGGGTATTCCATCTTGACTGATGAGATGTGAATGGCATTTTAATGGACACTAGATCCACCCATTTGCACCATTTTAGGAGCTTTGATTCCATATTTGGTGGTGGAAATGGTCCTTCCGGTGTTTATGAGGGGTTTGGGTATTCAATCTGACAAGGGCCAAGGATTTTAGTGAAGCTCGGGTTGTACCATTTAATTTTCCATTTTTAATTAGGGATTGCATACTAGGAGACTATTTACCATTAGTACAAGGAGGTCGCAATCAATCGTTACCACTGGATGTCAAATTTGATGGCTTGGTGTCTCACTAAGTTCGAAAATTTTATTTTTGAACTTTGAGTAGTCATTGATAGACTTGCAACCATCCGATTAAAAATAACATCAATTTATTATGCAGAGTAATGCCCTTTTACGATACAAGATTATCATAGAAAAAACCTGCCTGCCTCTTTAGATGGATCAAATTTGAGAAAAACAGACATTTTGGATTCTATCGAATGCTTGTGCTATACTCCATGCCTTGAAAATTTATGGCAAGCTTCATTTCTTGTATTCCATAGCCGCCACTGCCACTGCCGCTGTCGCTGCTGCCGCCGCTTGAGTTGACACCGGAGTCTCTGCAACCATCGCTGTTAGCCAGGCATTAGGAAAATCCTTTTGCTATTGTTGCTCCATCGGATCCTCCACCAACCATGGAAAAGATTAAGCAGGAGCAGGAGGAGGCTGCGACAACAGAGGAGGAGGAGGTGGTGCATGCATCGAGTTTGTCCCAAAGCTGGAATCACCATGGAGGTGGCGATGATGTTGGGCTCTGCAAAATGTGAGTTGCTGGCAGAGATTATTGAGCAATGTGCGAGCATGTAGAATATGCTTGTTGAGCTCGAGGACGATGCCGTAGCTTCCGAGGATGGGGTCTCTTGCTCGTACTTTTGCTTCTTGTTTGATGGATCTCATGGCAGCAGCCCTTTCGTCAGGCTTTCCGAACTTGGAGATGAGCTTTATGACGTTGCTGACACCAAACAGACGTTGGACATTGAGGAAGTCACTCATGCGGTCGGGTGGGAAGAAGGGGGCCATGGGGCAGTCCGGTGTGCACTTGCGCCGCTGGTAGCGGCATGATGCACATGCCGGGTTCTGGTTCAAGAACGACGTGATCCTGCGGTCCCTGTGGATTAATCACTAAGTTAATATTGATGACCATAGACACATATTGGATCATGAAAGAGAGGGGGATGAGTTAGCATGGCTTAGGTTGTCTCACAAACATCATGTAGATGCACACAACAATATTGTTTACTTTTGTTATAAAGATCATAATCATTATTGACCAGTAGATGTAAAAACGAATGTTTTGGTAAGGGTGGCAAAAGGAAAGGATCCGACATCCAGACCTGACACGTGTTTGGGTAGGGGTCCAAAATTTATACCTGGCAGGTCGGGTTGGGGCCTAATATTTGTACCTGAACACTATTCAAATTTGGGTCTGGGTCCATGTGGATCCAATCTGAATAGTGTTATTATATAAGTAGTATTTAATATGTAATATTTTTTTAATATTTCAATAAATACAATTATATATTTTAATCATAATATTTAAATAAGGGTGTGGTTTCTAAAAGGTTGCAACCTTAAACAATAAAGTGCACCTCATAATTTTATATCTCATTATAAAATTTTAAACACCAAAAATAGGTAAAATCAAGTAAATCTATAAACACATGAAAATCTTGAAAAAGCGTAGTCTAGATAATGTCGTTGCAAGATATACTATTTGTAAGACTCAAAATCTTCTTCTTCTTTTTTTCATATGCATAATTCTTGATATTGAGATGATCAATTAGAAGATTTTTCAACATTAAAACAAGCTTTTTCGATGGAGTTTTAAGATGCATTTATACTTCTACATTTTAAGGTTGCAACGTTACATAATTTTTTCCTTTAAATAATACATGTATATATTTAACATAAAATTTAAATATATATTTTTTATTTTTGGGTCTGATCCAATTGGGTACGGTCGGGTCCCGTTGGATCCGGCTTTTGGTATGATAACTTTGGGTCTGGTTGGGTCTATGTCTAGGTCCCATAATTTCATTCAGATCTAAGTCCGGGTCCGTTCGACAACCCTATGTTTGGGGTTTCCCAAAAGACTAGCACAAAATCAAGAATAAAATTTCTCGAATATTATGACAAACTTCCATATGACGGATTTCACATCTAATGACTAAGAATAGTTGTAACCTCCTTGTACTACAAGTGAATGATCCAATAATATACACAACATATCTATGTACAAAGAGATATATACTATAAAAGGATTAATGTGTAAGAGGCTAGTAGAGAAGGACATAGCGTCAAACATGTGGAGAAAAATAAAAAATAAAAAAAGGAAAAAAGCATTGAGTGGTCAGGATGGCGAACCTCTATATGGTATCAAAGCTTCCATTCATGACCATTATTAGCATGTCAAGAAAAAAATTAAAAAGAAAAAAAACTAAAAGGAGATTTTTGTCATAGGACGTAAACATAAGATACTGACACAGAAGATCATACTACAAGACATGTAGAGAAAAATCAATTAGGAACCAGTAGATTATCAAGGTGAAGGGATAATATGATGCCAAAAGTTCCATTCCTACACATTATTAATACATCAAGAAAAGGAAAAAAATCGAAAACATACATGCAAAGAAAAGATAGATGATAGGCACACCAATACAGACAACATGCACATGTGTGAAGAGACAAAACATGGATGAAGAGAAATGCAGAGACATGAATAATAAAGATATAAAAAATATATAGGAAATCGATGACAATCGATAAAACAAAAAATTGAAAAAAAAGGAATTTTATAAAAAACATGCGAAATCTGCCTCACATGTAGCACTAAAACAGAGGAGAAAGTGAGTTCTTTACTCACATCTCTGGATTTGGTGGATGAGAAGGCTGTGGAAGAGGAGGGTTTGGGCTTCCTCTTTGTGCTCCTCTATATCTACACTTTTTCTCTCTAGACTCTAGAGAGGGAAACAATAGAAGATTAGTGATTCTCCCCCTATAAAGGGGGAGCAAATCTTTGTGATGATCCAAGTTGATGCTCTCGTGGGTTGGTGCCCTCCTAATTTAGCTAGTGCAATTACTAGGAGCCCTTCAACTTACACAAAAGAATCTGTATGAAATACATAGCAAGTGTTGGAAAGAGCTCAGGCTAGATGCTCGGCGCACGCTCGAGCCAAGTACTCCACCCGAGTCTAAGTAAATCGGCCTGAGTTGGGCTAAAAGAGTACTATAAAAAATAAAATAAAATAAAAAATCCAAAAAAACAAAATCTTTAAATTAAATCAAGCAAAACATATCCAAATACGGTTGAAAAATTAGTTTCCAAATAATCAATTTGTAAAGGGGTATTTTAGAAGTAATTTAAAAAGAAGGGAAAATATAAAATTAAGTGTTCATGACCAGAACACTTTCCAATCTTTGCCAAAATGATAGAAAACATAAAATATAAAACTGACGCAAGAAAAAATAATAACGAGGGAAAAAAAAAAGATTTTGAGATATTATACCCTCTCTATAGGTCTGCAAGAGAGTCCACCCCAATATCTTTTCACAATATCAACTTCTTACTCAACCACCAATTCTCTCTCTCCCCCTAACTTCTACATGAAACCCCACAATTTTAGGAAGTCCACACCATAAAAATACAAACTACATCATCAAGAAATTCTATCCTAAGCAACTCCCATAGACTGTTTTACTAGTCACCACAATGCGGTTTCCATTTCCACCATTAACACCATCCCACTATTACCTTCAGAAAGCTAACTCCTAATCTACTTGAAAAAACAAGTAGGGGTCTATTTTCCCTAGTAAATGATTCAAAAACAAAAAAGTAAAGAAGACAAGACTAACCCTAAGGAAAACAAAAATCTCTAGTTACACGTTTTTTTAAAATAAAAAAAATAAAAAATTAAACAACCTCAATTTTTTTTTTGCATCATTATCTTGGATATGGGAGAAGTTCGACCTCAAGCTTACATCCTTCAAAATTCAATCGAATAATTGGTGTTATAGACCGACCATTCTTCTCGGTACTTTGCCTATTTTTATGAGCTAACTAAGCAGACACTTGCAGTGCAATTTTTATAGGAATTTTGTACTACTGAATTCTGGAGTAACTAGTATATTTTCTTCTTCGTAATTGTAAACATCTTTTGCACGAGCTACCTTTTCATATTCTTCTTCCTCCGATTGCAACATATGAAATAGATTTTGTGGACCTATTTCTCCTACATTGATAATACGCTCTACTAGGTATTCTTTGAGTCTCTAAAATCTTTGATCTAATCACTCAAAATTTGAGGTAAGCTCTCCACTAGGTATTCCTTGAGTCTCTAAAACCTTTGATCCATTCAAAATTCTGATTTAAGCTCTCCATAACTAGATCAGCTTGGCTCTCAAGGGTCCGCCACCAAATAATGTAGGGAAAAATAATAGGAGTAAAACAAAAAAGATTTTGAGAGATTTTACCCTCTCTTTGGATTGGAGTCGACTACAAAATCTTTTCACAATTTCAACTTCTTACTCAATCATTAATGCTTTCTTTATCTTACTTCCACGTGAAACTCCAGGATTTTAGAAAATTCTCTGCTCATCTCAATCCCACAAAAATAAAAATTATTTCCTCATGAAAATTTGTCCTAACCAACTCCCATGGACACTTTTACTATTCTACCCCTTTAAATCTATATAACTAAATAAACAAGAATAACCTTAAAGAAAACAAAAATATCTAATAACAGTTTTTTTAAAAATTAAAAATATAAAATAAAAAAATTAAACAACCCTGATTTTTTATTTGTCTCAAAAACATATTACTAATAACTATCGCTTCGGTTTGATTTTTTTTTTTTGAATTTTTTTTAGTATCGTCAAGTTTACACCCACCTAGGGACACTTGGGCAACTTGAATACTTTGTCTAGCCTGAGCTGACTCTCCGAGTAATCAAACACTAATACATAGGACATACGACCTGTTATTAATGATTTACACATCTAAACAAGGTAAGTTTTTGTCCCCTCCCAGTGGACATTTCATTCATGGACACTTTCTTGAAAGGGCAAGCTTTCTATGCTTCCCCTACAATATAAAACTTATATACTTCCCCTTATTCAACCATCTATTATGAATGGACGGCTAAGATTGGCCCAATCACAATGTGACGTCTCTACACTATTTTATTTTTAATTTTTTTAAATAAACTACTTAGATACCAAATTTACTACGTCCAATCCTCTATTAAACTCGTACTAGTGAAAAATATAAAAAAAAATATTTCCAATAAAATAAAATGACCAAAATACCCCTGAAAGTTTCATGGGGTATTTTGGTAATTATATTTTATCAAAAATTATTTTTAATATTTTTTATAGGTGCGCCCCAATGAGAAGATGGTACGTACCAATTTATATCCGTACAATTTGTATTAAAAAAACTAAAAATAAAATACTTTGAGACGTCAGATCTAAAATCAAACGGTGAGTGGCTCTCTTGATCAAAATTAGAACGCAAGATGGTAGGGGAAGTATAGATCTTCTAAGTTGTAGGGGAAATATAGAAACCTTTCCCTTCTTGAAAAAGAGATTTTAGATCTGTAGTTATCTTAGGTTCAGGAGCTAACGAAATTAGGATCCTAGAATCTAAGGTTTTAGGGTTTAGAAATCCAGGAATAAGAGGCTAATAGGGATACTCAGGATTAGGGTTATTCAGTCCAAAAACAGCCACAAAAATGGTTCATTTCTAGAGCAGGGGTTACCATACCAGAATACTAAAATTCTAGAAGGATCTAGACTTTCGATGGGTTTTTTTGTTAGGGGCAAAGTCAGCATTGCTAAAGGCTTTCCACCTTCAAATTCCAGAATGTTCCATAGCTTTCATTTTTCGTGGTCATTCTACTAGATCTTACTGTTTAGAGTGTCCAGCTCATTTTGTTTATCTTTGTACCTTTAGACCTACCCAATCTGCTCCCTAAACTGATAACTTAGGTTATTAGGGAAGGGATTGTATACCACGAGGTCATTTATCTTTAGTACAAAGGGGTCGCAATTACTCGTAGACATTAGATGTCGAATTGGAAGGCTTTTGCTGTGTCACAATGTTCAAGA